GATGGATGTCCTCCCCTGGGCTGGGATGGGTGGGTTTACTGGGCCGGCAGTAATCGAGGCAAGCTGTTGCGTTGTCCCCGCTTATCGGCGAAGCTAATAAACTAAACTATAAACTAAACTATGACCCCACTTCTGTATCTTAGCTTTGGTATTCTCCCTTCAGGTGACACCTCATAAGTAAATAAAAGTTGTCAAAGGATTTTTTTATTGAGATTTTCTTTGAAAGGTCTCCACCAATCTCTGTTTCTAGAACTACCATACGAAGGAAAGCTCACCAAAGAGATAGATAGGCCAATCTTGACCTATTTATACCCAAACTAGTACTAATCACGTGGGTTATTTCATAGCTTTACAAAGTATTTCTCGATAGTTTGATAAGTAAACACTTAAAGAAATATCATTTTATAGATAAGTAAACAATCTCTAATGTTTATAACAATCTAATATTAATATTATATATGGAAAAATCTCTCAATTTCATACCATCGAAATCAGGAAAAAACGTTCCTAAGGATACACAATGCAGTACTAAGGAATCATTTCATTTCAATTCAATAAATGCACAAGAATTGCAAGAGTAGTTTAAGAGGTAATCTCTCAAGCTGATCGCCCACAATAATTGTTCATCGTCTAAAAAAAGTCACTTTACCTCGATACTGAGATGGGTGTAACCTTGTTTACTCTGAAGGTCGGACGAGCTTGGACTTTCGTCCGAAGCGTTGTTCAATTCACAAATGTAGTTCCCTCTTTGTGAAAGCCCAACATTTATGGACACACAATTGGGCTCCATATAACACAGCGCACTACAACTGCCTTGATGGGACACCTCTACAAGCCTGGTTGAATGATATTTCATGACTCTGTCCTGTATGGGTTCTTTGAAGATAACGGATCGACATTCTTCACCTATTTGGTTTGGAAATAACAAAACAAGCTCATCAGGCATCTCTGTGATTTTACCGTGCGATTTTTAACGTGCACTGAATCAAGGCGTGAGAATTAGCGGCGGGTTACCCGTCAAAGGGGAAAGCAAACAATTTACATCCCACTTTAAGTCTATTCCAATGGACGCATTTGTTGAGCTGAAAATGTTATGTTCGGAAACCTTGGTGTTCTTTCTTTGTTTCCAATTGATGCAATTGTTAGTTAAGACAATTCGAATATTTTGGCTTAAGAGACTGGCAACTTTTCATGTGTATGTTACTCCCTCTAGCACTTCACCGTCATCCAGACTGTGCACGATTTTTAGAAACAAAAGCCTACCATTGAGTCGATTTTGTCTGAATAGAAGTCACTGACATGAAGAACGACTTACCTGTTTTTGGACAGTAAAGCTGATGGTATCATATCAACTACAAAATTCCAAAGGTTCAAATTGCTTCCTTAACAAATTTGGTTACGATGAGGAAAGACATCAAGGTAGTAAGGTGGGCATCTGGCCAAACACATTTTTGCACCTCGTTATTAGAAATATCAGATTATATCATGGGGCAAATACCAATGGGAAGCTTTTGTTCCGGTTTGGACATCAACACAGTATTAATGTTGCCCTGAAAGTAGGGAGCAGTCATCTGGTCGCTGGGAAAGCTCTCCTTTATTAAGATTGTTCTTCTTTCTCTTCGAGTATAATACTTGGACAGTAACCAAATGTAATGCCTTTTACTGAGCACACGTAACGCACCTGAACAAACACTTCCATCTCCAACTGATCCTTCCTCCTTGCAAGTACAACCATAAGAGCCATTAGTGTTTACACAAGTCGCATTCACACCACAAATGAACCTGTCATTTACACATTCGTCAACATCTACAGGACAAAAGCCAATAAGTAAGTCATGGAAAGACTATTTCAAAGTTTGATGATAGATATCTTCTAGCCAACTTTACAGAAAATTTGTTTTAACTTTTTTTTTTCGGTTTACTGACGAAAGATACCTGAACATATCTGTCCATTTCCCAAAAAGCCTTTCTTGCATGTACAGTTATAAGAGCCATGGATGTTGGTACAATAGGCATTTGCGTCACAAAGATGGCTGCCATTTCTGCATTCATCGATATCAGGGTGAATGTTTGAAAATATAGAAACATCTAAGCATCACACCATGTTCATTATTTATATCTTTCCTTTCAGAGAATAGAAGAACAAATGAAAAAAATTGCACAAACCGAAGTAAGTGAATGATACCTATACATTCATGTCCAGTTCCATTGTATCCCTCCTTGCACGTGCATTTATACGAGCCATAAGTGTTTGAACAAATTGCATTGGCGTCACAGAGCAAGATATCATTCTTGCATTCATCGATTTCTGGAAGATAAATGGTAAAAATAATGTAACAATAAACTAGAAATAAATAGAACTCGTCAAAACATATGAAAGAAAATATCTGACGAAAATAGGCTAAGAGCAGACGAAATACGCTTACCTCCAGTTCCCAAGCTCATATTACAATACATTAATTGTGTCTTTCCATTACCAGTTGGATTCATCCAGTACTTATTGCTAATGGCATCTTTTCCCTCACTTGCCTTTATTTCTTGGCAAGATAGTGCTGGTAATTCGAGAATGGAACCCAAAGGTGCTGCAACACATAAAGAATTAAACAATAAATTCAGTAGACAACCACCTTGCTAATTTCTCAAAATTTTTCTTCTTGGAAAAGTGAAAAAGTTAAGAGTATGAGCATAGATGTAATGGGCTATTTCCTTTGAAATATTATTTCACATTCTTCGAATAACTGATGATAATAATTTTGACAATATCAAGAACAATGAAAAAATACTCTAGAAAATGCAAATATTACCGGGAAATAGTCTTTAGGAATAACTTTTAGTTTTCTCGCATTTTTCTCACACTTCCATTTTTCTCAAACAACGCAGAAGCAGTTAGATTACTTTACTGGAAAAATCTCACTCAACAGTTGACTTAAATATGGGAGTTTTTTTAAAAAAACAGTGTCTTTGAGAAAGAAGCAGCTGTCATAGTTGCTCACCATGATAATATATAGGCGTTCAAGTATAATCAAGACAATAGAAACAGTTTATATTTTCTCAGTAAAACGTGAAAATAAGTGTTTTAAGGATAAAAATTGGTCCCGCTTGCTATTTTCTTCCAAAAAATTCCCGCTTGAAGGCTGTTATAGGCAAAAATACTCGCTGTAATCTTGTATCTTGGCTTACGGATTACTTGCATCACCGGACTCGGGTTACAGGTAGTCGATCAGACGAACTGTATGTCAATTGCGGAATTCCACAAGGATCAGTGCTGGGCCCGTGTTTATTTAGTTTGTATACAAATGACATGCTAGACAGCGTTACATCGGGAACACTATACCTGTAAGCTGATGACACCACTGAATTTACTGTATCGGAACAACTGTAGATGAAGTATTCAGCCTTCGGAACAATGCGCTAGACGATATTAACAAATGGTGTGTAGCCAACTAGCTAACACCACTCCCAGAAAAATGCGAAGCAATGCTATTGTATAAGGGATCATTCATTGGACCTTATCCCCTAATTACCATAGGCAAAGCAGAAATTTCGTGGGTAGGTCACACAAGACTGTTAGGGATAACAATAGATCTTAAACTCAAGTGGGCGAAGCATCTCAAAGATCTAAAGAACAGCTTTGTCACCAAACTAAATCTGCTAAAAAAAGTGCTCTTTTCTAACAAGAAAATCACCCCTGGATTTATATTTTAAAGTGATCCTTCCTTCTGTGTCATACGGGATCACCATCTGGGGAAATTGCAATAACGTAGACCATATAAAATCCCTACAAGCACTACATTGTAGAGCTGCAAGGCTAATTTATAACTTGCCATGGGATACGCCATCGAAAACAGTTATGGAAGTTAGCAACTGGTACTCGATATACGATATGTACAAAACAAATCTTGTGACAGTGTTTTATAGTTAACGACAAAACGTGAAAAGAGTTTTATAGTTAACGACAAAACGCCCCCTTTGATTTCTAATTTAGTTACGTGGAGAGACAGTCGATATAACCTAAGAGGACATAAGAAAGCTATCGTTCCAAGATTTTCAACACAATTCATGAAACTACTGGATACGTTTTCGAGGCGCCGTTCTGTGGAACTTCGTTTCCGATTAGTTAAACGATTCTTATAATCTCAAAAAATGCATCGGAAAAGTGAACCTGGACCCATCATTTAGACTAATATACATTAGTCTAAATATTAGCACTACATCAGATAAATACATACCTCTTCCGTTCAAACGCCTGATATAAAACCAACCAGGGGCCGCGCGAAAGTTTACAGTCCTCGCCTCTTTGGTGCGGTTGTTTAGTTCGCAGATCTCCTTCTTTCTATTGTAATTGTAGCTTTGGCAGGTAATTTCTTGTCCACATCGGATATCACAGATATAGGGAGCTGATGCTGACATCTTTTTAAAGACGAACTTTTCTAGTCTCATGCCTTGAATGTTGATCTCCACCCTGCACTGTTTATTAGGAGATACGGGGTCCATAAAGAAAACGAGGATGAAAAGACATAAACTTGGCCACAGCATTTTTTCTGTAAGAATAATAATTGGTTCATGTGTATCATTGGTTCATACGTTTACAAAGACATCAAGAATACCGTGAGTTTATAAAAAACGCAAGATGCATCAGAGTGCCCTGTGGCACAAGCTTCTTGCCTTGCTGTTGCATTGTATGAAAAACTGGGAATGTTCTATGCAAGCAACTCTAAACTAACAAACAATTTCCGGTAAAACAAAAAAACTTAAGATGTCGCAGATGAAGAGACTCCATTTTTATACGTGTTTGTTTGTTGTTATCATTTTAACTGTTCGAGCGATTGTTGCCTAGAGATTATCGGGAGATTTATGTATTTTTATGGCTCATAATGAAAACGGGTTTCCACTATTTCTCCTCGACTTCACGTCAAAATCTAATGACAAGTAAGGTGTCTTACCTTTAAAAGTATATAAAAACTCAGCCTTTTGGGGTGTTATTTAATGCTGACCACCACTCGGTAAGTTTCTATTTCGAAGTCTTTGGTTGAGTTATAAAGCTATAGTTTAAATCTAAAAAAAACTCCAAACATCCTCGTGAATTCTCTCCCCTGCATTAATGAAAGGATGCTAACCTGACAGCTTGAGCCACAGTTTGTTGGTAAACTGTAATGAATAAAAAATAGCCTCAATTGTCATTGATAATTTTATGATTGTGAATTGTAAATGATATCAGTAGGTGAACGATAATTTGACAGAAGNATCCTAGTCATTATCGACGAAACAAAACGTTATTTTGTTTATGAGGCTTTATTTTTTCTACTCTTGGGACGCACACGCAAAAACGTTTTGTTATTGCATTCCCCAAACACGTACCTCACCTATCATTGAAAAACAAAGAGAAATCCAGATTAGAAATATAGAACAAGTAGTACGGTAGATAAATGACCTATTTGACTATAGCTTGGTCAACTCCAACATTTCTCTCACTACAAATTTTAATTTATCTTTGGTGATCATATTTTTTAGCTTGACAATTTCAACTACCACTTTTCGGTGAACTTTAACGGACAAAACGTCCCTTCTTATTTATGTTGTACGCAAAAAACAGATCGAAAGCGATGAACACTTGTTTAAGACCTCCTGAAATAATCATGAACACCTGTTTCAAGCTTAAACTTTGTTTCGTCTTTTTTTTATTCTTTTAAAGTTGGCGGAAATGGCTAGAAAAACAACGGTCTTGCAATTGCGTATTCACATAGTTTTTCTAGAATTTGTGGTACAATACTATATTGATTAATAACAGGATGTTCAATAATTTACATAAGTCCGCTCAACAGTGGATTCTAAACTTGCCAGCCTTTTATACTTCCACTGGGAGTCGTTAACATTTAGAGCACTATCATTGGCTTTGTTAGAATTCTCCAAATCTTGCCACCTTTGTTTAAGTTGCATGATTCTTTCTACCCAGATAGCTCGCGATCAGTTTATATTGACGGTAATACCAGGACACCATAAATTGTTAACAGGCTAATAAAAAGTTTACTTTAAGCCCCTTTGAAAATCGAAAACACCATTAACTTTAATTATTCTGTATTCACAACAGGAGTTCAAGATCTCTTTTCCCAGAGAACTCTTAATAAATATCAATTAACGTCAACAACCTTTTATTAGCGTCTTCATTAGTTAAATTTGATACTTGCAAGGCCTGTCCCGATGAGCAAGGCAACTTTTAACCAACTTTTGGCGTTTAGAACTTTTTGTGAGCGTAGCAAGATCGGGAAATTTTTGCATTTGTATATCTGCATAAATGTTTTCGCAGAATAAATGTTCAGAGAACATATCAATTAAACACGAACAAGTCAACAATTTCATGAGAAGCTACAATTTATGCAAATTTCTTCAATATCTATCAACATTTTGAACACATAACCTGTCATTTGACACCGTTTGGTTCGGCAAGACGCCCGATGAAGCATGTGTTTTGTTCCGTTAGAGTTCAGTTATGAATGTCCTAAAATTTTGCCCATATTTAAGTGAGTCTTTAAAGCTAACTTTCAAACTATTTTCCTTGAGTAATATTAGCAATTTTTGCGAAAAACCAAAAATTAAAACTATTGATCAACTTATATTTGAAAATATCTAGAAGTATAGGTAGCAGCTTTAAATATTTTTTTACAAGTTGGGCAGCACCTTTTAGAAATTTTTTGGCAACCTTTTGGGAATTTCATTTAGCAACTTTCCAGCATTTTACGAGCATAATCAGGACATGCCAAATATCTGCCTATTAGGTATCCCTCAGCATCATTTCGTCGGTGTCAAGACCTCGTTTAGTAGTTGTCTATAAATTTTTCTAATTGGCCAATAGATATCCATTTTTAAATATTTGAAAAAGCTTTTTAAACCTCTCAAAGATTCAAAATGAGCTTCGAAAACGGTTTTCTTTTGTTTTGACTTATTCAAAAAATTTGCATTCAGGTGGTGTACACACGTATAAATCTAAATATAGAGGGTCTGGATGGGGTTTAGTGTTAAGTGTTATTTGGCCTTTTCTTTAATGTTTAGTGTTTTAACACTAAACATTTTACAAATTTTAAAAAATTTGTAAAATTTTAATGTTTGGCGTTTTAAGAAAGTTAACTGTTAAGTGTTAAAAGGCATTAAAACAGTGATTTCACTCATTAAGGATAAAAAAAAAGTTTCATAGAGAAGGCAATAAAAGAAACAAAAGAAGAAGAGCCTGCGCGGAACTGACTGAACTGGTCAGCATGCATACTTTGTGCTCATGCACATAAGTTCTTCAGACATTTTGTGGTCAGCGGTTTTTAGCAGACCTCTGTATGCAAAATGGCCACCACGCCCTCATTGGCGGGAGTTGTGGAAGTGTTAGTCAGCTTTTATAGATGTGGCGAGGAAAATGCTTTTGGAAGGCATCGAGGCAGAATTCCAATCGGTAAAGAGCAAAGAAATATAACGGACGCAAAGAAGCGTTTGATCAACTTTCTTGGTATTTCGCAAATGGTCACCTCGTTGGGGATGGGAAATTTCGAGTTGAAACTTTACCGGCTGGCCAGGAATCCCCACGGGAAAACGAAGAATTTACATATCCTAGCGCAAGATCAATGGGAAATGGAAGTTCCACTCCTTGATTCTGACGAAACCCAGAGTGAACTCAATGGTGAGTAGACAACTGTTCTTTCAAATTCTTAAAGTGCAGAAAAAAAGTTGCAAATTGCAATATTCGCTGGAAAAGCTAAGGTTTTGCTATTAAAACCCAGGTTGTTCTTAATGAAAATAACTGCTATATTGGGTGACTTATACTTATGTTAAAAGTCCATAAGCAAGCAAAGGAAAATCAAGATTGTGAAGAGAATAATTTCATCTTTGGAATATTTGTTGTGGTTCAATTTTTTTTTAAACCAGTTTGATTTTTATTWCCCCTTGTTTCTAATGGGGACAAAACATGAAGTTGGCCACATGACCGAGGCTATTGTGAATAATTACTTTGAAGATTATAAATATGAAATACTAAAGTAGATTTTCATCTTTTTCATCTTTTATATAAGTACATGTGATACAGAAGATAATTAATTGGTCAGACAAGAAAATGGTACTTGTACCGAGTGTGAAGGAAACTCCTAAAGAGCCTCTTGGTACTTCAACAAGGTCTTCAGAAGATAAAGATCCAGAAATTGCAATCATAGATAAAGAGCCTGGAGCATCAGATTCCTCGAGAAAGAAAAGTAGGAAAAGAAAACAAGAATGTATGGAAGATAAAAAACTAGTTCTAAATATTTTGAGAGACAATAAAGTTGTGAGAAGTGTATGTCAGCAGCATGAATTAGATGAGCTTCAAGCAGGTAAATCTTAATGAAATGAATGGTTTTTTAATGTCCTAGAGAGTAATAAGTTCTAATTATTGTTGTTGTCATAAGATGTAATTTGTAATATATTTGTAATTCCAACTAATAAATAGCAGACCCATTATGATAAAAGATATGCTGATGGTTTGGTTTAGATGCATCTGTTAGTCTCAAACCTTGCAAAAGCACTATTAGGTATTAAATGAATGAATGAACAAACGAACAAATGAATGAATGAATAAGTTGATGAATTTATGAATATCTATTCTTTAATTAAGACAATTGGGCAAAATATAAAAGAAATGAAAAAGCAGTGAGACATAAAAAATGTTCCTTGATTACGAGGTGCAGTATGAACAAAAAAAAAAATGGGAAGTTGGCACATCCATGTTAATTTCATATTGTATTCCAAGATAAGATTATTAGTACAATAACTCTTACAGTAATGATTGACATGTGTTTACTTTTATCTCTCTTAGACTTGGGGAAGCTTGCTGGTAGCACAGCTTGTAATGAGCTGAAATTTACCTGTGGAGTCTGCAAGAAACCATGTTTTGTCAGTGCTAAGTCCAACAGAGGTGTTGTTTATTTCACAGAAACACTTGCTTGAGTCGAAAACTCGACTAACCAGTAAAGGAGAGTTTTTCTGCAAACAGAAAACATGCTTAATACAAACGAAATTACAACATAAACAACTGAAATGAAAACTCACCGTCTGTTCGAGCTTAGGGTTTACAAACATCGACAATACACGGCAACAAAACATTTTTGAAATGAACGCGACGATTTTCCCTTTCAAAGCACATGGGCGATTTCCCGGATGTTTAGGTAAACATAGGCCCGCAATGGGAGCTACAAGAACCACCCAAGGGAAGGTCAATTACTTCAAAATCAGTAAGTCCAAACAAGCATTTTTAATTTACTAATATCATAATCGCAGATCACATGATTCAGTATTCAGAATAAGAAAAAATAGTAATTCAGAGCACAGATGGTAACTCTGGTTTTTCTGTTTTCAGCTGAACTTCTAAAAGGCTAACAAATGTTTGTAATTAAGTAGAACTT